GGGCTGAGCAAGCCCAGCAGCCCTTGCAGAAGGACTCTTGGCAAGCACAGCCCATCCCTGCCTCTGCCCTCTTGCCCTCTTTTGTCTCCCTCTCCTTGCTCCCTTGTGCTCCCTGGGGCACTGAGTCCCACACACCCATCCAGGGGAGGACCTGCTGGCCCTGCTCCCTCTCTGGATCAGGCAGATGGACATCTTCTGAGATCTCCACCGCAGTTATTTGGTGCAGACTCCTGTCTGCCGCTGGTGCTCCTTTAACTCATATTTACGTAGTTTTTCATCTTTTGACTCAATAAAGTTCTATTGCATTTGAGCCATTGCCTTTTTGTCATCATTTGCCCTGCCCTCACAAAATGCCCTCACATCACGCCCTCACAAAATGACATGGGGGGTTATTGGATATGCTTGTACGAGGACCATTATCACAGGATAGCTCTGAGGGTGATCCTCTGTTTTTCAAACTTCTATACCTATCTAGGGCTGGATGGAATGATTCAACAGAGTTCATTGGCTAGAGTTCCATCAGAGATGCTGTCCTGGCAAAAGGGGCGATTTTCTCAACCCTTAATGTTTAATTTGTCTGTCGGTGCCCCAGAAAAACTGAGACCATTGTGTCAGCCACCTCTTGGGACTTCTGCTGGTCAAAGTGACCCCAAGATGTGTTAGAAAGTCTCTTTTCCCAGCCTGGTGGTCGAAGAAGGAGTCAGAACTCTTCAGTTCTCATTCTCAAGGTTGTTTATTGTTTCTTATCTATAAAACTTTCTCTGGCCTGCCGAGGTCCATTCAGAAGGTCAGACAGAGGCCCACTGGTGTTATCTTTTTATACTAAAAACTATGTGTACCTTATTTACCATAACTTCCCAATACCTATCACACATGTTAGACAGTGAGCTTCTACTCTAAACCAATCCAAAAGTGCCAGCATAATAGCAGAAGATGGAGGCCGAGAAGAAGAAGGAGAAAGGCTGGACACACCCAGATTCCTCCATCTTGCCTTCTGAACCCCCATTCCAAAAACCTCAAAAAATCGATTTTCCACCCTGTGACAAACTAACTATTATTCTACTTAGACTTTTGTGACTTGCAGATCCTCATATAAGGTTGGTAATTTTTTCATAATCAAAGTCACAGGTGTGTTGGGCTCTGTGCCAAGGTCTCTGAGCCCCCTGGCAGGGTTTGGGCAATCCAGGACAGACAGAGGGATGTCCTCAATTCCAACAGCCACTCTGTCAGTGTCCAGTTAGGGGGCCCTGCACTGAGCCATCCTGCTGGATCAGAGGGCAGTCAGGGAAACACCATCAGCCTCAGGGAGTCCCCTCAGCAGATCTTCCCACTTTTCGGCCCCTAAATGGGTTTTCCACTGAATTCCAGTATGTTCCCTGCTGCCAGAGACTGCAAACACCACTGAAGGACTGAAACTGACAGTTTATGGAATAATACTCTGAATAACATAAAATTGTGAGAGGTCCAAGGATTGCTAGTGTACCAGGGAAGAAAAATCAAGTGGGAAAATCCTCCCACTGGTTCAGCTGAATTGATGAAAGGGCTGTGCCATGCCATAGAACATGCTCAGCAAAAAACTGTAGGCAGTTTCTACAAAGTAGGTGTTCTCCAGAGCCTGGCTGGGTATTGGTCTGCTGGTACAAGGTAGTGGTTGACTGCATTTATACAACTTGTGATTTTTTCCTCTTTTCTCCTCTTCACTCAATTCACCAGTGACATGGTCCCATTCACCTCCTTGTCCACGATTTTTTTCCACTACTGGGACAATTACCATAGGTGTTGTTTTGGTTCCTGGTGTTCTTAGGTGTGGTTTTGGGTGTCTGCCCCGACTACTGTGTTCTTAAATGCAGTTCAGATGCATGGTGACATTCTCAGAAGTGATTTGGACCCCTGTCCTCTGATAGTGCTGGTCAAGATCCAGAGTTGTGTTAAAAGCTGTCACCAGCCACCTCAGGATAAATTTCACTGTTGCCACACCAAAAAATTCTCTCTTCTTGCACCACCCTGACACCAGATACCTCAAACACCACATTAAGTCAATAGAGTTAATGAGTATTTTTCAACGCCTCACACTAAGATGAAAAAGGACTTTGTGAGCCCGCACAACAAAACAACCTGGCATCACTCATGGATGAGAATGGAGAGGTCTATTTGCTCATCCCCTGCACAGTTTCATCTTTCCTAGCCCCCAGGTGCCCATCAAAATGTTCAATCACTCCCTCTCCTCAAAGAGTATGGTGGGAGAAGACAAAATTAATATACTATGTGTGGAGATAAAGGTAATTTAATGAAGAAAAGCAAAAACACGGGAAAAAAATAGTTTTATTGTCATCTTCCATCAACTGTCAATGCCCAGCCTCTCCTGGGAAGCAGGACCAAAGTACACTTAGTTTCTTTCTTGACAAACAATCTATTAATAAATGCTCCCCTGCCAGCCCCCTCCTCCTTTCTCTCAGTGTTTTTTGCTGACCATGATGTCTCATGGTATCAAAAATCCCTTTGGTCAGTGTGGGTCGGCCAGCCTGGCTATGTCCTCTCCCATGCTCTTGACCACATCCACCTTCATGAGCTTTTTTGTAGAGGAGGGTGGAGAGACAGGGTTGATGCTAGGCAAGCACTGCCCAGAAAAACCCAAAATATTTCTGTGTTATCAGCACCATCCTAGCTCCAACTGCAAAGAATTCATAGAAGGGTTAATTTGGTGAAATTGAACTCCATCTTGTGTAAAACCTACACAATGCTATTATCTCTAGACACACTATTTTCTGAAAAAACCCTTCCCTAAGAATTTTCCTCCTGAGAAGCTGAGAGGCCTCAGGAACAAAATGCAAACAATGGTTATCTGCTGCTGTGGAATGCAACAGGTGCATCTGGGATTGGTCTCATGTGGTTGTTTCTAATTAATGGCCAATCTCAGTCAGCTGGCTCCAACTCTCTGTCCGAGCCACAAGGTTTTGTTATTAATTCTTTTTTTTTTTTCTATTCTTAGCCAGCCTTCTGATTAAATCCTTTCTTCTATTCTTTTAGTATCGTTTTAATAGAATATATATCATAAAATAATAAATCAAGCCTTCTGAAACATGGAGTCAGATTCTTGTCGCTTCCCTCAACCTCGGATCCCTGTGAACACCGTCACAATTATCCATCACTGCATATTCATCCCAAGCAAACCCTCACAAAAACAGCTCTTAAAAACATATTTTCCCCTGGGCATGTTGAAAAAGAAACTGCAGAGGAAAGAATGACACAGACACACGGGCTGGGATGCAACAGAAATTTAATGAGACAAAACACAGAAACAAGGTTGGTCCATCTGGAGGTCCCAGTGCAGAGAGCACGAGGGACAGAAGGGAATCTGTGCCCCAGCAGGTTCCACCTGCCTGATCCAGAGAGGGAGCAGAG